AGAATGGGACCCAGTCTCTAAAAAAAATAAAAATTAAATTTAAAAAACGAATTTTCTGCCCGGTGCTGTGGCTGCTCACACCTGTAATCCCAGCACTTTGGGAGGCCACAGTGGGAGGATCGCTTGAGACCAGGAGTACAAGACGAGCCTGGGCAGCATAGTGAGACCCCATCTCTCCCCACCAAAAATAAAATATTTGTTGGGCATGGGAATGTGTACCTGTAGTCCCAGCTACTTAAGAGACTGAGGAGGGAGGATCGCTTGAGTCTGGGAGTTTGAGGCTACAGTGAGTTGTGATCACGCCACTTTACTCTAGCCTGGGCGACAGAGTGTGAGATCCTGTGTCTTTGGTTTGTTGTTATTGTTGTTTTCTTTTGAGATAGAGTCTCTCTGTCAACCCTGTCTCTCAAAAAATATTTTTTTTTCTTGTCCTGACTAGTTTTAGGGAAAGTGTCACACCATCGACTGAAAGGCCAGTTCTGATTTAGAAAAAAATAAACCTTTTCAATTAAATACGAAGATATAGTTGTAACACTTTGGACCAAAAATACAAGTAAATTACACTTAAAAAAAAAAGATGTTGGTGAAGGCCATGGACATCACTTGGAAAGTGAGTCATGTAAGGGTAACAATGAGATACCATCAGATTCCCAGGTGAGTGTCTGAAGTCCCATTGGCTGTCCAAAGAGGGTCTGAATTGGTTTGAACCCAACTGTTGACTTCTCTTTTTCATAACCTTTCTTCCTACATCCATCTTCACTTAGTTTCTCCCTCCCATTCCTTAACATATTGGATTTGATGAGGAGATGAATTCCCTTCCTCTGAGAGTCCTTTTGGAGACAGGCTTCAGGTCATGGTATTCCAGCATTTAGGCTGCACGGCAGCCCCCCAGTGAAGGCATGGGAAAGTGTCAGAAAATGAAATGGGCCTCCACTGGAGAGACAGTCCAGCTTCTTTCCCAAGGAGCCATTGGATATTTATAGAGCCAGCCTTAGGATGTATGCCCATTGCTGAGAAGGTTTTGCGGCCCGATCTGGTATACATTAGAGGCTCTATCTTTCCATCTCCTCAGTTCATGAAGCGTTGGTTCCTGGCCTAGGAGAAACTGAAAGCCAAACCAAACAGGGGACTTTTCTTCTTCATAGTTATTGTGAGCCAGCCAATTCCAGGATTTAAGCTTAGGCTTGTTAGGCTTTAGTTCTTCTGGGAAATGCCATCTGTTAGGAGAATGGATTTCTGGGCAGCAAAAGTGCTATTAATTCTATTCTAGTGTAGTTGCTGTATGGCAAGGCTCATATTACCCTTTACTCTGGGGGCAGGGAGAAAGGGTTAGGATCAGGCATTTGCCACCATTAAATCCACCCTCTTTTTTGTACATTCTGCCTGTTGTCCCAGTTCACTGCCACACCCTCGCCCCACACATACACACCAGACCTCTCCTTTAGTTTTCAGGCCACTACACAATTGAAATGTTTGTGTGAATTTTCACATACAGTCTAATCTTTATGTCAAGTGTGCAATAAAGCTCAACATTTGTCTAGAGCAAACAAGGAAGTCTTGTTAGGAAATTCGTTCCTTAGGATCTTATGTCTTAAATTGGACTGCTGCCTTTTGTTGTCACAGTTGTTTTTATAATGACATATACGTAGGTTTGCCTTTCTGAATTCTTATGTTGAATCTACTGTTGGTTGGCACCCACCACTAGCATAAATTTCTACTCTTTCAATCAGTGGGACAAATTCACATGCCAGTCGAGGCTGATTCACCTGTTCAGTGCTGTGAGTGATTTGAAGAGGACCACCTTCTCAGCACTTCTTTGGCCCAGAGTCACAGGGACACTCTTCTCAAGAATGTGGTCCTGGTAAGGGAATTTGTAAAATACTTACAGATTTCAGGAGTCCACAGTTTCAGGCAGAAGGAGAAAACATCTGCTGGTTTGAAATACTGGAGACCAATTCTTATCCAGTGCCCAGGAAAACTGGTTTTCTGACCAAAGACTCAGGGAGACTGGAAACTCTTGGGATGTGGATGACAGAGGAAGGGGTTAGGGATGGAGAATGGAGTAGAAATCCATGTGTTCAGGACAGAATAAAAAACAGCATCCTTGATTTCTCTCTCCTTCTTACCCTTCATAATCAATCTGTTAGCAGGTCCTGCCAGTCCCACCTTCAAATCATGTCCTTGATGTCATTCACATCTTCTTCACTATCATCACCTAGCTAAGCCTCTGCCATCTCTCACCTGGTCAACCCCAATACCTCCTCTGACTAGTTTCTGTGTATCTTCTCTTGCTGCATTCTAATTCATTCTCCATGCAGAAGACAGGGAAATCTTTTGCAATTGCAAATTAGATCACAAGGCTTTCCTGCTGGCATCCCTTGGGCCACTCTCCTTTGTTCCTGGAATTCCATCAAGCCACCTACCATGGCCTACAGAGTCCCCGGTGTTCTGGCTCCTGCTCACCTCTTCTAAGTCTTCTCATTCCTCTCTCCCACAGCCATGGTGCTCCAGTCACACGGCCTCCACTCTATTCCTGGCCAAGCATTTTGGTTTTCTGTATTATTTCTTCTTCTCCTCCTCCTCCTCCTCTTCTTCCTTCTTCTTCCTTCTTCTTCCTCTTCCTCTTCTTCCTCTTCTTCTTCCTTTTTTTAACAGGGAGTCACTTTGTTGCCTAGGCTGGAGTGCAGTACAGTGTCCTAATCACAGCCCATTGCAGCCTCAACCTCCCAGGCTCAAGAGATCCTGCCACCTTAGCCTCCTGAGTAGCTGGGACCACAAGTGCATACCACCACACCCGGCTAATTTTAAAATTTTTTCTAGAGACAGGGTTTCACCATGTTACCCAAGCTGGTTTTGAACTCCTGAGTTCAAGCAATCCACCTGCCTGGGCCTCCCAAAATTCTGGGATTACAGGCATAAGCTACTATGCCCAGCCTAATATGGGTCATTTTAAGCCCTCCTCAATGTGCATTAAATACTGTACTTGTGTTCAGGCATGGTGGCTCATACCTGTAATCCTAGCACTTTGGGAGGTCGAGGCAGATTGCTTGAGCCCAGGAGTTCGAGACCAGCCTAGGCAACATGGCGAAAACCAGTCTCTACCAAATATACAAAAAAAAAAAAAAAAAAAAAAAAAAAAAAAAAAAAGGCCAGGCATGGTGGCGTGCGCCTGTAGTCCCACCTACTTGGGAGGATGGTTTGAGCCTGGGAGGTGG